TATAATAATAATAACAACAACAACAACAACAACAACAACAACAACATTGAACAGTATCTAATTTTTAAATAACATATTTTCTACTTAAAGCTACAGGGTAGATGATAAAATTGGCCGACAAATTCCAACCCTAGTTTTCATCTAACTTTAATTTTTTTTTAAATCTTTTCTAATTTCCACAGTATCACCAATATTCAGATTAATCTGCTCTGTTGTTTGATCTGTAGCTTATAACAAATGCCTTCCTCCTCTTTGACCTTCAGCATTTAGACCTTTATTTGTTTGTAAGGGAAGAACATCTTACATCTGTTTTTAAATTTTGTCCCTATAATTCCATTATTTAAGTGCATTAAATAATTGCATGCCAGTATTTTTCTACCAAACAAGATAAAGCTAAGTGTATAGAAACAACAGTTTTATACATATTTACTTATTAATAGATTTCAGTAGGAATTAGATAACTATTTACATGTGAGGAAGCTATGCAAGAGAAAAATTGTTAGGAAGAAAAGATCATCAGCATTAAATTTGTACACTTGTTTAGGATAATTCTGAAAAGTGAAGAAGATGATTAATACTGGAGCTATTAGCAGAGGGTTGGAAATGAAATCTACATAGGCACAAAACAACATAAAAGTCTATTTGCACAAATACCATGCATCATATCTTGAGTTCAGTGCAATAGGGGAAGTTTGGATAACTGGGCTATTTCAGAGGTTTTTCTTGTTAGAAGATCATATGGATGTCCTCAAACTGGAGGTAACAAACTAGAGGAAGCATTGTGGTTGCCCTACTTTCTGTTTGAAATGTTTCTATCCTGTGAAGAATAGAAATGTTTCTAAAGGAAAGGACTGCTTTTATAAGAACTATCCTTGGAAGCAGATCACCATGTTTTCTGTTGCATTCTGTTGCACCCCACACAAACCTCTCTCTGCTGCAATATGATCTAGGGATCAAATCCTGCAGGTTGCCTTTTATGAGATACTTCCTAGAGACTCTGAACAATTGTAGATTGCATATGGTAAAATGATTTCGTTTCTTCAAATATGTTTACATTATTGCTCTCAAACCAAGGTATTCATTCCATTTCAGATCCACTACTAAGAGACTTTTGGGTGTATGAAGGCTCTCTCACGGTCCCACCCTGCAGTGAAGGTGTTACGTGGATCTTATTTAGATATCCTTTAACTGTATCCCAAGTTCAGGTAATGGTTGTTCTTATGACCACAACCTGAAATTCTCAGTGAAAGGTTACAGCATGCAAATATGTTGCAAGGCATTATTCTTGCTTTTTTCCTGGAAATCTCATTAAATTGACCAGTTTATGGCTTTCAAAATAAAGGTTGTGTTATTAAAATGGAAAGGTCAGAAATGAAGAACGGTGGTTGCCATTTTGTTCATTTATTATAAAAATGAAAACTTACTATGAAAGAGAGACGGAAACGTAGAGGGGAAAAGAGAAATAAATCAATAAATGCCAAGCAGTTTTCTTTTTTAAAAAAACCTTTACGCTTTTTTCCCTTAAAATAAACACTAGCAAATGTTTGAACAGATGTGCAAAATAGCCTTATTTGTGTGCTCCAGGACTTAATGCAATACTATCCAGTAGTTGCTGGCTAGTTTTGCTCTCCAGAGCCATTTCAACCAGTGCCAGTATGTTCCATAGCTGACACAGAACTCACGTGAGTCTAGAGGACAATTATTGATACATGCAATTTTCTCTTCATGGGAAACTTTGGTTTCTGCCTCTCTGAAAGGACTTGTTTTTTGAATGATATAGGCTTCCTTCTTGTTACTATCCATGAAGGACATGATTACAGCGTTGCAAGCGAGGCCAGCAGGCAACAGATAGTTAGGGGCATGCTGTGTTTAATAGATAGACTGCAGGTCACCTGCTGTTCTTGTTTTAAATAGAGGTGTAGAGGCTACTGAACCAGACCAGGTTAATAGTATTTTTCTTCTTCAAATCGCCTGACTTATTTCATTTGCATTGGTGGCAAGCAACTGTGTGTCAAATTAATTCTCATTTTCTTCAATGACTACCATTTTTATTTCATTAGTTTTTTTAACTATTAGAGGATTTTGGGTTGTTTTTGTTACAAAAGACTAGCTTCTCAAAATGGCTACAGTAGTAGATTCTAACTATATGGAGTGGAAATCCATCAGCTTCACAGGTATTCCTGCTCAGGTAAAGACAGATACCTTACTTTTAATGAAATGTGAACTTCAGGACATTATTTCTAAGTGGCTGCAGATAAAAATCTGCTACAGTCTGCCTACAACGGAACATGCCAAAGTGTACAGAAGGATCTGATTAGCATATTTTAAAGCAAAGAGTATCCCAAAGGTATTTTTTGAAAGTGCAACTGGACTTTCTTCTCATCCAAGAAACTTCTTCAGATTGGATTGTCAGAAGTGCAGAAGTTCTGTCAAAACCAAAGAAGCTTCTTGGATGACAAGAAAGTACAGTTGCCTTTTCAAAAAGCACCTTTGCAACAACCATGGCATGGATGACTGACAATCTCCAGTAGACAAAGAGTGATCCAGTATCAAAGTTTTATATACATGTCTGGCTTCAGTATTTTCTTATTTATCATAAATGACTCATAATAATCTCTATACTACAGAAACTAGTAGTTTCCATTAAAAGTAAAAATCCCATAAACTGTAGGGGAATAAGTCATTACCAAGCATACTCATTCACTAACCTCGGGGATTTTTTAATATATAAAATATGTCCTATATAAAGTTTTGACGCATTAAATTATGTGTACGGGTGTTCCAGACTTCTTGCCACAAAATAGAAAATACTGATAAATATATACTTTATACTGTAGAGTTCTGTACACATTAAAACAATGAGGATATGCAGACAGAAGCATTTTCCTCACTTAATATAAAGGAGATTTAGAAGATCTCATTAGGAACATAAAAGAAAATTGAAAAATCTGGGATAATGTTACAGATTAGAAAGACAAAGGTGTTGTCAACAAGCATGGCAAAGATGGTTCAGTTTTCCTGAACTAAAGAATAGATAACAGTGGAGGAGAGGAGTAATTCTAGGGAAAAGGTCCAAGGCTAAGAATATTGCTGTGATCAGAAAAATCAGAATAGTTAAAAGTAGTAGATTTCACAGTAGCAATATATGGATCTGATAGCTGGATTTTAAAACAGAAGACAAAAGAATAATATTGCTGAGAATTATGAATATGTAGGTAACTACTAAGTGTACCACAGAACTGTAAAAGAACTCATTCATTTTTCACAAAATTAAGCCTGACCTATTTGGGATACTGTATGTGGTGTACCTAGGTAATATTCTAGACAAAAAAATTACAACGGTGGGACAGCATTGAGTAAAGACAACAGATAAAGTAGATAGATGGGATCAAAGATATTACAGGGCTATCTTGGAAGACCTACAAAATATTGCTGAAGATAGTTGAGATAACAAGGATTTGTCCATGCAGTCCCAGAAGAGAGTATTATATCTGTCTGCCTGTCTGCCTGTCTGTCTGTCTGTGTATATCTCTCTCTCTCTCTCTCTCTCTCTCTCCCTCTCTCTCTCTCTCTCTCTCTCTCTC